AGAGAGAGAGAGAGAGAGAGAGAGAGAGAGAGAGAGAGAGAGAGAGAGAGAGAGAGAGAGAGAGAGAGAGAGAGAGTTTGTGTGCCATTCATGTGGTTATCGATTTAACTACTCTCTGCATCTCTGGTCAAACTCTTGTTGCCCTTCATTTTCGGCAGTTAGGCTGTGGGCAAGTAATTTGCATACCAGTTATGGACTTCTCAAAATTTGCAGTCGTGATTGATGATGATGAAAACACCTGAAGGCCAAAGCCTGATTATGAGATGAATACGAGACTCACCCTTTTCATTTCTTTGTTGCTTGCAGACTGGCTGCGAACTAACACTGACGTGCCTAGTAATGGCACTTATAAAGCAACTGAAGCGGGTGTCAAGGTTCTCCCGATCGCCATCGGTGTTGTACTGGGTGCGGTGGTAATATTGGTGGCTGTTGCGGTTTACGTGTTTCTGTTGAGATCGAGAAGACAAGGAGACATGACGGGCAAGAACGTTGGAGGAGACRCCACCACTGGAAGGCACACCCATACAAGTAAGGCTTCACAGATAGTGGTGATTTGTTGTTCAGTGCATCTGCAGTCAGCTGGCGGGTTCGATTCCTGGAAACCGAGGCAGGAATCGAACCTGTGACCTGACTGCAGGTGCATTTAACACCGCGGCCACATATACCGGAAACGGTCTCGGGCAGCGGTTTGGTGTTCAGTGCACAGCAGTCACATCACGGGTTCGATTCCCTCGAAACCAAGGCGGAACAGACCAAACAAACTCCCCAGTCAAAGATTGTTAGACCTGTAGCTGGGCCGTTTGAGAAAAAAAAAGAACCAAGGCTTTTTCTTGAAAAACGGACCCCCCACTTACCAGATGACGAGTTCGATACCTGGATGCGCCAAGGTGTTTTTTTGGTCAAAACAGATGCAGCACCCAAGGCTTGATTTCTTAAAAAATAGAGATAACAAGACGTTTGGATAATCGTTTCTTTTCTTTCCCCTTTTGAGGGGATGGTGCTGTTATCGTATCATCAAGATTTGAACAGTTACATGTGCGTACCATTCAGCCAAAGGCCCTCACTGCACTACGCAACATTCCACATGTCTCTGGACTGTAACATGGACCAGATATATTTGGACTGATCTAACATTTTGAATGTATCGGGACCATTAAATTGCTCCAGATATGGTGGTGTTATTGTATCATCAAGATTTGAACTCGTTTTCTGTTGGTTAACAGTTACATGTGTGTACCATTCAGCCAAAGTCCCTCGCTGCACTGGTCAACATTCCACATGTCTYTGGACTGTAACATGGGCCAGATAAATTTGGACTGATCTAACATTTTGAATGTATCAGGACCATTGAATTGCTCCAGATACATTTGAGCGTTAGACAGTGTAGCGAGCCCCCAAGGCAGGTCTTTCTCATTCACCTTTGTTGGCTTGCAGTTACTTTGTGTCCTCTTTAATGGGCTTGCGAAATTCAGAATGTGGTTGTGTGCATCTAGGGATTAGAACTCAGGTCTATTGTTCACTGTTCATGACTGTACCAACTGAGCTTGGCCCTTCTCCTCCTCCTCCTCCTCCTCCTCCTCCTCCTCGTTCTGCCCGTACTTTTCTTGAACGTTCAAAAGGCCAATTAATGCAGACAAATGGTGCAATGTGCGTACCTCTGTTCATCTAGGGATTCAAATTTCAAAGTCAGGTCTATATTTCAACAGTTCATGGGTAAACCGAATGAGATAGACCCT